CAGAACAATTCCCAGTCCTGCTCCGCTTCGGGCCACAGATCCATCCACAAACAACTGCCATAGTCCCTCTGACTCCTCCTCGACTTTCGTGCCTTCCTGGATAAAATCGGTCAACACCTGCGCCTTTATGGCTCTCCTTGGCTCGTACATCAGAGAATACTCGCTCAGTTCAACCACCCACTTCACCAATCGACCAGAGACCGATGGCCGACCCAATGTTTCTCCCAACGGCATATTCGTTCGCACCTTCACCTTATGATTCAAGAAATACGGTCTCAACTTGCGAGCAGTTACAACCACAGCTAGCGCACACTTCTCGATCTCCGAATATCTCGTCTCTGCTCCTTGCATCACTCTACTCACATAGTAGATAGGGAGTTGCTCTGTTCCCTCCTCTCGCAACAATACCGAACTTACAGCTCTCTCTCCAATGGAAATGTATAGCACCAGCTCCTCCCCTTGCACAGGTTTGGCCAATAAAGGGAGGTTGGCCAACACCCCTCGCAGCTCCTCAAATGCTTTTTGCGCCTCCTCCGTCCATTGGAACTTCGCGCTCTTCTTTAGGGTTTTGAATAATGGGCCACTTTTCTCCGCAACCTTCGATATAAAACGACTCAGCCCCGCAATCCGACCGGCTAAAATCTGCACCTCTTTTACGTTTGTTGGTGACTTCATCTCCATCACAGCTCGAACCTTCTCCGGATTGACTTCAATACCCCTCTTGGTCACCAGATAGCCCAAAAATTTGCCCGACCTCACCCCGAAAGAGCACTTGGCCGGATTCAGCTTCATCCCGTATCTCCGCAACGTCAAGAATGTTTCTTTCAAATCTCGCACATGATCCAATTCCTCTTTACTCTTCACCAACATATCATCTACGTATACCTCCATATTCCTTCCCAGTTGCTCCTTAAAAATTTTATCGACCAACCTTTGATACGTGGCACCCGCATTCTTTAAACCGAACGGCATGACCACGTAACAATAGGTCCCTCGACTCGTCACGAAACTCACCCGCTTTTTATCCTCTCTAGCCAAGGGGATTTGATGATACCCCTGGGATGCATCCATCAGACTCAGCAACTCGCACCCTGCCGTTGAGTCGACCAGCTGGTCGATTCTGGGCAGCGGATATATGTCCTTCGGGCACGCCTTATTCAGGTCACGAAAATCAATGCACATCCTCCATTTTCCTTCCGACTTCGACACCATCACCGTGTTCGATAGCCACTCAGGGAACTGAATCTCCTTAATATGCCCCGCTCCCAACAATTTCTCGACCTCCTGCTCGATAATCTTGTCCATCTCCGCCCCATGGTGCCTCCTTTTCTGCTTCACCGGCCTCACGCTGAGGTCGATATTTAGTCGATGTTCGATCACCTCCGCACTTATTCCCGTTAACTCTTCTGCTGTATAGGCAAAAATATCAGCAAACTCCCTTACCAAGTCGATCAGCCTCGACCGAATGGGCTCCTCCAGATCCTTCCCGATTCTGAACTTTCTACCCTCGCATCCCTCGATCATCTGAATTTCCTCAATCTCTCCCCAGGTTGGATGTCCATATTCTCCTTACCCTTCTCCACTTTTTGCTTCTCCTCCTTCGATCTCGATCCTCCTGGTCGATTGATTTCCTCCCCCTTCGCCTCGGCCTGTCTCTTCGCCAATTGTTTGTTGTTACTAACTGTTGTTTGGTAGCAGCTTCTCGAAGTGAGCTGATCCCCGGCAATCTCCCCTACGTTTTCGCCCACCGGATATTTAATCGTCATGTGGTACGTGGATACGACTGCCTGGAACGCATTCAAGCTCGTCCACCCCATGATGATGTTATAGGACGACTCAGCCCCTACAACCACGAATCTCACCATGCGCACCTTCCTCAGCTCCCCTAACCCTAGCGCCACGGGCAAACTGATCTCCCCCATCGGCATAACTTCTCCTCCATTAAATCCATAAAGCGCCGTGGCTACTGGCTTCAGCTCCATATTCAGCTCTTTGTTGATCTGCACGAAACAGTCATAGAACATGACATCCACCGAACTCCCGGTATCAATAAACACCCTCTTCACATCAAAACCCGCAACCTCCGCGGTTATCACCAGAGCATCATTGTGTGGTAAAACTACCCCCTCGGCATCCTCCGCCTTAAAACTTATTACTGGCATGCGCATTGTTATCCCCACCTCCTCTCTCTTTCTCTTCACCGCTCGCGCATGCTCCTTCCTCGATCTGTTCGAGTCACCATCTGTTGGCCCCCCAGAAATCATGTAAATCGTTCCTCTTTTCGGCGGGGCCCCTCCTCCTTGCCCTTCTCTATCTCCCTCATTCCTCGACCTTTTTTCCTCGACCATCCCCTCTGTCTCCTTCTCCATCTCTATCACTTCTCTCCTTGGAATCATCTCTACATCTCCTCCTGCCTTTTCCTCTCACCCTGTCGTGATAGACAAACTCCTTCAGATATCCTGCCCGAATCAACCTCTCAATCTCGTCTTTCAAATGCCTGCAGTTCTCTGTGGTATGGCCGTAATCCTTGTGAAATCGACAATACAAATCCGACCGGGGCCGATGCGGGCCGGTGAACCTTGTCTTTGGCCAAGTTACGTCCTCAGTCGACATCTTCTGTTCCATGGCCTCGAGCACTTCTGTCATATCTTTCCTCAAAGGAGTAAAGTTGTGGTACCTCTGCCTCTCGAATACCATCGGCCTCCTCTGCTATTCATCTCTCTTTTCCCCTTTTGCATCCCCACTCCCTCTTCGAGGAGACGCCCTCCTCCGCTCGCTCCTCTTAGGCGAGTTTCTCCTTGGCGATCTTCCCCTCGGGTGGTTTTGCTCCTTTTTTGGTTCTGGTTGGGACACCCCTTCAAGGTTTGCAAACTCCATCTCCATCTCCTCCAGATTGATGTATTTCCTGCATCGCTTTAGAACATCCTCGTATGATCGAGCCGGGGTCTTTGCCAAAGAAGTTCGACAGGACCCTGCTCGAAGACTCCTAATCAATCCTCCCTCTTTCACCTCATCTGAAGCGGAGTGCACTTCCAAACATGTCTTATTGTATCGAGCAACATACTTCCTCAACGACTCCTTCTCGCCCTGTTTCATCGCCATAAGGGTCAAGTAAGTCTTCTCTTGCGCCACCGCGCTCGAATATTGGTTGGTGAGTTTGCTGGCGAAATCCTCAAAATCCACAATCGACCCCGAGGGTAACTGATGGAACCAGTCAAGCGCCCCTCCTCGTAGAGTCGATAAGAATGCCCTGCAACAAACAGAATCAGAATATCCATGCAACACAGCCATATTCTCAAAGGTCCTCACATGCCTCGACGGGTCCGATGACCCATCATACACCAAGTTGGTCTCCTTGAAATTGGCCGGCAAAGGAGCGGCGAGGATCTCCCTAGCAAAAGGATGCCCTCGAGCCCTCCTCTCTGGCCTCCCTTCAACCCTGTCTTGCAACTGGCGCAACTGCTCCGCCATCCTCTCCATCGCACGATCTCTCGCGAATCCTCCTTCTCCGTAGCTGGACACATCCTCATCTTGGTTTCCCGTTGCCGTTGCCGGAGCAGTGGTGGCGTGCGATGTGTGGCTTGCGACCTGCTGCACCGCCTGCGCCGCCGCGGCCGCTGCTATCCTCTGCATCTCCTCCCGGGTCATCGTAACCACTTGTTGACCGGGGGCCTGTCCAGCTACTGGAGGTGGAGCTCCACCTTGTATCGCCATATCTCCAGGTTGGACCACCACCGGGTTTTGAGGTGGTGGGGGCGGCATCGCCATCGTCGCTGCTGCTCGTGCCTCCTGGGCTCGACTGGAACCAGCATCTCCTCCGAGGTTTGTCGCAGTCGTTCCCACACCGTGCGGGATCGGAGTAGGAGTGACCGGAGTCTGCGATGGGCCAGAGAAACTCTAGAGGAGGGCCGTGCCCCAATGGCCTGGTCGTCGTCCAAGCCTCGTCGAACGTCGACTGCAAGTTTTTAGGAATTCCGTCCGCCATAGCTGAGCTTCAAACACAACTTTTTGAACAAAGAATCCCCACAGACGGCTCCAATAATGCAAGTGTGAGCGTCTGGGTCCGGTTTGGAGTAGATCGATTCTTGTCCTTGCCGGTAGAACGCCGAGAACCTGCAAATAACTCTCACACCGGGGGTTGGGTCCGGTGAAGAGCCTCCGATGCTTAAGTCAGTATGTATCTGAGTATACTGGAATTTAGAGAATGAATAGAATGTGTTAAGGAAGAAAGGCTCATCCCCTTTTTATAGGGGTGAGATACCTGCCCTAATGACTGCCCGGATAAGGATGAGCTGGCTGCCCAAGCTGCCCGTCTGTACTGTGACACACCGCGTACATGTCAGAGGTGGCGCGGGGCGTTGGGAGCTGTCAGAGGTGGTTATCACTATCACCCAATATATTGTCGACACGTGTCCTCCCTACACATGGGATAAATATTCCCCTGGGGCTCAGTCAGAGACCCTCACGCGCGTCTGCTATACACGCGGCTAGGTTTATGTCGATCAGCTTGCTCGATCACTCAGCTTGCTCGATCACTCATCTGATCGATTGATGGGTAGCTCGATAAGTCTGATCGAGCGCTAGGTTACTCGATTGTCTGTGCAGTCGGGCCTTGGGCTGCCCGAGTGCCTGTGTGGTCGAGCCTTAGGCTGCCCGATCGCTTGTATTCCCGCCTTTGGGTTTGGTTTGCTCCTGGTCTGCTCTTTTCAACCGGCTCACCAGATCGGTTCGTCTTTAGACAGATAATATCCTATATCATCTGGGCCATCATAGCAAGAACATGTTCCCTTACGAGAGTGCCCTCGCGCATGGTCATGTTCATCAGAACCCTCATGGCTTCTTGTCGGGCAGCCCGCGACTGATGACCAAATAACTCCTTGAGGTTGAGAAGCATATCCGTTGCAGTGTTCATAGACTGATGTTGATGTTGAAGTACATTTGACAACGATGCCAAGATGTAACACTTCGCCATCTCGTCAGCCTTTTTCCACCGAGCATACTCCTCTTTCTCTTGGTCTGGTGCATTGTCAGCAGGCACAGCCGGACAAGCCTCAACAGTAGCAAATTTGTACCCCTCAGCAGTTAACACAATATCAAAGTTCCTTTTCCAGTCAATATAATTGGGACCAACAAGTTTGTTTTCTTTGAGAATTACGGACAACGGATTGAAAGACATTTTGAATTCCTGGGATCATGCAAACATAGTCTTTACTCAGTCAAGTAGTTTTGAATTTATACATCAAATATTGATCCCATTAAAACAACATTTGAATAAATTCACCAACACCTCAAAACACCAAATCCCCGCAGGCCACTAAGTGTGGACGTCTACGGTTCAAACATTCGCAAGAGGAGGGATAAATCCCATTAGCTTTACATACTGCCCAACAGTACTCAACTAATAGTCGGTTTCATCTTTTGGCCAGCCAATTAACTTTTTAAAAGAATAATCTTTATAAAAGAATAAAAACGACCTTGTCCTTTGGGACTATCGTAATTATTTGCACTTTAAGCGTAACCCATTAATTGGTACTAAGTTTACTACCAAAATTATACGTCCACCTTTGGGTGACCCGTACGCTTTTGAAATAGCTCACTATAACCATCCCGAAGGAGATTCGTCCTTGTGAACCGTGAAATAAAACGTCCTTTGGGCTCGAATTAAATCACTTCACTGAGAAACCTATAATGGAGGCCTTGGATGTAATTTATTTCAACCCATTGCACACTAATATAATTTTTAGTTTATGGGATTTTCTTAACATGTTTGTATTTGCACATAAGCAATCACGTAAAACATGCATGATTAATGAGCAATAATAAACTAGGAACTATAATCCAACTATCATGGCCATTAATCAATCTCCAATGTTACGGAGACAACACAGTCCTGTCCTTGTTGAGTGTGTCCTCCGTTTCGGGTATTGGAACTCCCTCTTTCGCAGTGACTCCCATTGAATTGGTCGTCTCCGGGAAAGTCACCATTGGTTCATCACCATGGCATCCGTGTACATGTTTATGCCTCGCCCCATCAAGGTTGGTCCACGCCCGCCGGATCAACAATGAATAATATAAACAACAATTACATAATTCATCCTATGACCCACGCAGGAGCCGTACATGAGTTTCTATGAAAGCAATAAACTATGCGATGTCCCACCGCACGAATAATTTATTACAAGCATTCACCAACCCAAAAATTCCTTGACATGTCCAAGGCTTTAAAAACAGCATACATTCAACATGAATTAAAAACCATACATACGGGCCACAATAGTCGGATTCGAAACACCTGCAAAAACTTATTGCAATTTCTAATCTACTATGCCGCTGCGTCCGTACGCACATAATTCATGTAGAGAGGCAAAGTCCAAAATTCAAACCGTGCACGAGTTTGCATTAGCCTGGGCTCTGATACCAGTTGTTGGGTTCTGTTAGGAACGTCAAACAACATGCACAGTATTGAACTTTATCGAAATAAATCCTAACACAACGGAATCTATAGTTAGGATATGGATGTTTACCTTTTAAAATTTTTGCCGACTCTGAGACGATGTAGTGTATCGTTGGTGAAGTTCGTCTGAACACCACAACCTAATGGGCGGATAGATTTGGTCTTTAGTTGATTCTAATCAACACGTCAAATGGATCATGAACGGACGGTGGCTTGGTCTCGGTCGTCGGGTGCAGCGGGATGGTCGCGGGCGTTGTGCGCGTCGGGCGCTGTGCACGGGCGTGCGTCTCACGGACAGCAATGGGCTGGCACTGATAGCGTGCGTGTGCGCGTCGGGCGCGGGCAGGGTGCAGGTGCACGCGGGATGCGCTGGGAACGCAAGCGGACGATGCGCGGGTGGTTGCTGGGCGTGTTCGTCGCGAGCGTGCGTTGCGGGAGTCCTGGGCGGTCGCGGATTAGCGCTGGCAAGTGTTGTGCGCGTATCGGCGAGCGCTGAGAGCACGGGCGAACGTCAACTGGACAGCAGGTGCGAGCGGGCGTACGATCGTGCGTTACTGGGCGTCGCTGGCAGGCCTTGGCGATGCGCGGCTGCTCGCGGTAGCGTGCGGTTGCGCGTGGCTGGGTTCGGGCGGCGACCGGCGGTGGTGCGCGATTTCCGGTGGTGGATCTCGACGGCGATGGGCGGAGAAAGATGACCGGAAAATATATCTATTAGAAAGCTCAATCAATTGTACAAAAAAGCCTTCTAATGGATTACCTAAACACCTATTCCAATTAAACTTGGTGGAGCTTTTAATCGGATCTCCCAAACTCTCGAATGAAGTAATTCTCACGTGTATGTAGTGGAGAAATTTCGGCCAACACAACTACATAAGAGAGGTTGGGACATGGTGTATTTATAGGCTCCGTTAGGGACCTTAAGGAGGTGCTAAATATGGGCTTATTCCATTAGGCCTAGGATTCCTAATTCCAATCCAATACTAACTCAATCTAAGAAGGAGATCTCCTGCTAATCTCTCTCTTCTAGAAGACTCCTAAGTCTCCTAACACTAGAGAAGATCCTTGTAGGAATTTCTTTTCCTAATTAAATTAATAAACATGGAATGGAATTAAATCCTAATTTAGGAAACCTATTTTTACTCCAATTAATTAATACAATGTAGGAAATATATTTTCCACTAATCTTCATCTTCTAGAAGACTCCCAAGTCTCCTAATCCCAAGAGAAGATTTTAGTAGGAATTTTATTCTCCTAATTAATTAATTAATATGGAATAAAATTAATTCCTATTTAATGGAATTAAATAATAAAACATCCCACTAGCGTAATATTATTGCTCTCCCCATTTAGCCACTATTTTACCAATAAAATCGAGCCTCCATGATTAAATAATATTAATCTGATTGATCGTTTTACCTCCCTATGTTTAAGATATAACGTCCGCTGATTAATTAAATTACTGACAAAGTAATTAATCAACTTCTTATTCATTTCCGAAATTAGTACCACTCAGCCTTTAACCATTATGTCAGACAATCGTCTACCTGCAGGGTTTAACATAAGGTTCCTTTCTGAGCTCATTTCGGGGACGTCATCAATCCAGCGCACTGGAACATAGTGACTGTAAATAATCTATAATAGCACATCATGTAATTATTCTTACTTACCAAAATACCTCGTATGTCATCCTAACGGAATAGGAATCACTTGGTAAATCAAATAAATAAGAAATAATAATATATACCTATTTTATATTATTTTACAGCTTAAGAGAACGCATCAATCACTGAAGGTCTAGGTTACGACAACGGTCAGTGAGTCTCATATCCTTATCCTTCTGTGGTCCTGTTCAACACTTAACATAAGTGCTAGTGTAATCCTTCAGTCAAAGACCAACTGAATCGAGAATACACTACAATCTTTTTCCAAGTGGGGTCTCACTGCCAGTCTAGACTGTGAACGAATAGTTTAGTCTTATAAGGAACCGATAGGTGATCTTTCCATTCGAAACTCTTCGAACCACATTATCTCAATATAAGACATGGAGTATGTATTGCATAAATAAATAAACTGCAAACATATGTACTTTGACCGAAACATGATTGCCAGATCAAAATGGAATTGAT